CGGCGCTCACCACCGCGCCGACGGGCGACTCGCCGCCCATAGCGACCTTGGCGGCCTCGCTCGTCGTCGGAGTGTCGCCGCGGTTGCTCTCCGCCGGCGCCAAGGGGGACTTTGCAGGGCTACCCATCTCAAACCCGGGCGTCTCCCGAAGAATTTATTAATGTGAACTCATTTTATTATTTTGGCCGGGGATTACTTCACCGCGCTCCTACGGACAAATCCGGCACAGCCGATCTCGCCACCATCGATGGTGTTGGACGTGCCCCTTGGTTTCCTAGTCGACGGTACTATGAAGGTTCGATCGCGCGCTCAAGATCGTGACTTTCGAGTACGGCGTCGCGCCGCTAGAGGGGTCGGCCGGGGCGCCACGCGGAGCAAGTCCCCCTGTGTCGGAGTGAGTGGATCGCCGCTCGATTCCGCGCGACGCTCGAATCAAACAAGGCTGAACACCGCACGCCGCGCGCAGAGTTGAGCCCTCGACCACACCCACAGACGCCGGATACGCCGACTCGCCGTCGCCCGCGCCGAGAACAGCCATGGGCAAGGGCGCCGGCCCCCTCTTCGATGGCTCCCAGATTGACGAGGACGGCCACCTCGCCGCCATCGACGAGGATGCGCCCCTGGGCTTCCCGAGCATCGCCTCGGGCGAGAACGAGCGGTCGAACAAGGACGACGACGCGTCGCCCGTCTTCAAGCTCATGTGCGCGCGCCGCGTGCCCGTGTTCTGCCTCCTGCTCGCGATCAACGCGTGCTTCCTCCTGCTCACGATCGCGCTCGCCGTGCGGGGCCTCGACCCCATCAACCTCGACAACTTGGGCGAGGTCGGCATCGTCATCCCCACCGACGAGTACCAGGCTAGAAGCAACGCCTTCGAGCGCGCGGAGGACGAGGCGGACTTCACGCGCGCGGGCGGCAAGTGCGCCCGCCAGGACAACGCGAACCCCATCGCGCTGACCGTGCTCAAGGGGTCCTTCGAGGACGAGACCAAGGGCAACGCCCTGACGAAGAAGGGCCTCGACACGCTCCGCGAGCGCGAGCGCCAGATCACCGAGGCCGAGGGCTGGGGCGACCGGTGCGCGTTGATCTACGCGGAAGGGTACCCGGACTGCGTCGTCGCGCCGAGTTTGGCGGTCGACAACGGCGTCGGCGGCACCTACTTCGCGTCGGATGCCCGCGGCTGCATGCCCCCGTAGTCCCGCGGCGCCTAGTACCGCGCGCGCTTCCGCTTCCGCCGCGGCCGCGATCGCGCCGTCCCGCAGGTATCTCCCGTCTTCCTCTTCGACAAGTACGGCGACCCGGACTTCGAGGACGTTCCCGGAACCGTCGCGACGATCTTGGCGTCGACGGACGCGGCGTCGTTCCGCGACATGCTCCACAAGGACTTCACGGCGTCGAACCTGGAGTCGAAGATCCTGGCGACGGCCGCCTACGCGGGCACGCCGCGCAAGGCCGTGTCGCACTACGTCGACGCCGAGACGGAGGCGGCGATCCTCGGCGGCGCGCACATCGCGTACTACGACGACTCCGCCAAGGAGAAGGAGGAGGACCACCTGCACGCCTGGGTGCGCCGCGAGCTACTCGACGACCTCGTGAAGGACTTTGCGGACTCGTCGTACCCGACGACCTACAGCTTCGTCGGCGACGAGGCCGTGAGCGACCAGGTCGGCGAGGATTTGAAGCTCATCGCGGCGTCCATCGCCATCGTCTACGCGTACATGGCCTACTACACGGGGTCCCTGTTCGTGGCTTCCTGCGGCATGGGCTACGTCATCACGTCCTTCACGGGCGCGAACCTGCTCTACCGGTACTGCTGGCCGCACGGCGACGGCCTCGGCTACAACTACTTCTCGGTCTTCTGCGGTTTGGCGCTCTTCATCATCATGGGCATCGGCGCCGACGACTTGTTCGTCTACTGGGACACGTGGAAGGGGTCGAGCGCCGTGGACTACGACTCGGAGCCGCAGCGCCTCGCGCACGTCTGGCACCACGCGGCGGGCGCGATGATGGTCACGTCCCTGACGACGATCCTCTCGTTCCTCTCGAACCTGAGCTCCGACTTCGTCGGCGTCGTGACCTTCGGCGTCTTCGCCGCGCTGCTAGTGTTCGTGAACTACTGCGCGGTGACGACGTTCATGCCGTCCGTGGTCCTGGTCTACGAGTCGCACGTCTCCAAGATCGCGTACCCGTTCGGCGCCGCGCGGGCCCGGCTCTGGGCCGCGCGCCCGGCGTGCCTGAAGCCCGAGGACGACGCGCCGAAGGAGCACGGCCACTTCTTCAAGGCGAGCTTCGCGCCCTTCATCTTCGCGCACAAGAAGAAGCTCGTCGCGCTGCACGTCGCGCTCTTCGGCGTCGCCGTCGCGTTCGCGTCCATGCTCGAGCCGACGCCCTTCAAGAGCTACACGCTCCTCCCGGAGGACTCGAACTTCTACCAGCTCAACGCCATCAACGAGGAGTGGAAGCCGCTGAGCGCGAACCCGCTCATGGTCCACGTCGTCTTCGGGCTGCAGCACCGCGACCCGCTGTCGTGGGACGGCCCGGACTTCCGCTTCGTCGGCATGGCGTCGGGCGACGCCAAGTGGGACGCGAGCTTCGACGTCGACTCCGTCGCGGCCCAGGAGCAGCTCCTCAACGTCGCCGAGGAGCTCGCCTACGCCCCGCGGCGCGGCCTCAAGATCGACCCGGCCTACGGCATCAACGCGCAGCTCGCGGGGTCCTCGACGGGCTCGCTCGCCGACACGCCCGACGCCGGCGCGTCCGCGGGCGTCCAGGCGGCCTACGGCGTCCAGTCGCTGCTCCACGCGCTCAGGGACTTTGAGGACGTGTCGACGGCCCAGGGCGGCGGGTCCTACGCCGCCGAGGGCGGCGTCTCCGCGTGCGAGCCCTGCTTCCCGACCTTCGACCTGTCGCCCGACCCGGCGACGCTCGACGACGGCTTCGTCGACCCGGCCACGGGCCGCGTGAGCGCGCTCGAGCTCGACGGCACGTCGCCCCTCGTCGACGGCTGCAACTGCGTCGGCTTCTTCCCGCTGCCGAGCCGCGTCTGCGTCGACGAGACGGCGGGGAGCAGCGACGAAACGCGCTTCAAGTGCACCTACCCGGACCACGTCGTCGTCCAGGAGCTCGACGCCTTCGCGGCGCGGCCCGTGGACCGCAAGTGGTGGGAGGACTACTTCTACCTCCTGGGCCGCAGCGACGGCACCTTCGAGCGGCCCGCGCTCTACGACGTGCAGGTCCAGACGACGTTGCGCGCGTCGGAGGGCGACTACGCCGTCGGCCTGCGCATGGCGAAGAAGTGGGACGACTGGATGGACGACCACAACTCGGACCCGAAGCACCCGCTCCGCGCCATGGTCTACGTGCCGGGCGCGAACATGTGGGTCATCTCGAAGATGCTCGTCCCGTCGGGCATCTCGAACATGCTCCTGTCGCTCTTCCTCGCGTGGCTCGTGCTCACGTACTCGACGGGCAACTACGTGACGTCGTCCATCGCGACGGCGACCATCGGCATGATCGCGACGTTCGTGCTCGGCTTCCTCCAGATCGTCGGCTGGGGCCTGGGGCCCCTCGAGTCGATCCTCATCGTCATCGTCATCGGGTTTTCGGTGGACTACACGGTGCACCTCGCGGATTCCTACATGCAGTCGCACGCGCCGACGCGCGAGGGCAAGGTCACGGACGCGCTCGTCCACACGGGCTCGTCCGTGCTCTCCGGCGCGATCTCGACGATCGGCGCGTCGATCCCCATGTTCTTCGCGAAGATCATCTTCTTCTACAAGTTCGGCATCTTCATCCTCCTCACGATCGCGCGT